CCCTGATCCAAACTCATAAAACCATGAAGTCGCTGTTTAGGGTTTAGGGTTTAGGGTTAGGGTTTAGGGTTTAGGGTTTAGGGTTTAGGGTTTTAGGGTTTAGGGGTTTAGAGTTTAGGGTTTCGGTTTAGGGCTTTATGGTTTTGGGGGGCATGTAGTAGTACAGTGTGTAAGAGGAGGAACTCTGAGAAACAGCATTGGTCTGGAAGGCGCCCATACGGTTGATGATATAGATCCTGCATTACCCATTTAATGGGGCATATGCCATAATTCCCATAGCTTGGGTCCTTAATTAAGGTAATGCAACAGTATTGCAGACCCCCAAAAAATCCCAAAACCTGGTGCAGCCCAGACCGTACTCTACGGGCCTCTAGAATTCGACTGGGGTGCTGGGGTGTATGATCATCTAACTGGAAAAATACATGTACCTATCCTGTATACACATATATATATATATATACATATATATATATATGTATATACACACACTATATAGACCCAGAGAGATATACATATATATATATACACACGATATAGACCCAGAGAGAAGGAGAGACCCCAACGAAGACATGATGAATAGTTGTTCATATTCGAAGACCCTGAAGCCGAAGAGTCCCCGCAGCCTTGGGTGGGACTGTCACAACCGGTGCAGCCTCCTTTATCTTCGCGATCTGGGGGTGGGATGTCCTCGGCTGATCGAGGATAGGGTTTAGGTGTCAACTTATAAGGGTTTAGGGTTTAGGGTTTAGGGTTTAGGGTTTAGGGTTTAGGGCTTTTCGGATTTAAAGACAACTACATCACCACCAAACGAGCCCAAACCCTACATGCTCGCAGCAGGAGCATTTGTTTGAATGGGCGGTGTTTCATCTGTCTTTCGGGCCTGAAAACCGACCTCCCTCGAAGCCTTCACACCCGATACCCTAAACAGTCATTGAAACCGTAGCTTCCTAAAGCCCAAAAGCCGTACATCCCAGGCCCACAGCAACTGCTGGTCCTAAACCTTTACAATTAAGCTAAGCATTGTGGCAATTTCAAAACATGACAAATGCCCACATGTAGATCCTCAACAGTGAGGTCCTTCTTGTGAGGGACCCCTGACTAGCCTAAACCCCAAAACCTTTATTGCAGTAGCCTTAAGGGGTTTAGGGGCAGTGGGTTTAGGGTTTAGGGTTCTTCCCCTGAGGCTATTTCGAAGAACCTCCTCCTCCCCCCCGTAACCTCTGCTAGGCGTCTGCTGGATCCTGAGGCGCCTCCGTGCCTGGATCCCAAATCATTGAAGCAATGTGGGTAGTTCTCTCAATTCGGATCCCTCTTAAAGGGTCCTTTCTCACAAGGGTGCTGCACTATTTTGGGGTTCCTTTAACTGAAAGAACTACCCAAATAATCAGCGAGTAGGAGCCTTAAAATGGAACACCTGAATCCTCCTAAGCCCATGTCCCAACTTTCTGGGATTCGCTGTAGAGGGGGGGGGGCGGGAGGAATACCATGCGAAACTTCTATTCGGGACTAGATGCTGGTATTCGTAGAAGGAAGGGTTAAGGAGGTTTTGAGGGGGGGCTCTAGGGTCTGATAATACAGGAGTAGGGCGTTGGTGTAGACTTGTTTTGTGAGTTGTTGGGCTGAAACAAGATACGGTTGATGATATAAATCCTGCATTACCTTATAAGGATCCTGAACTATGGGAATGATGGTATAGTCTTTCTTATGGGTCCTGCAGGATTTATATCATCAACAGCATGACTAGGTACATTTCGACAAATGGGGTTGTGATGGTATAAGTCTGCTGAGAAAACCCCAGGACTAACACCGGCATTGCGTTTGGTCCCGGCATCACCCTCAACTTTGAATGCGTTTTAGGTGTTCGGTTGAAGGTGCTCTGGTTTGAAAGGTTTGCGAAGCCTTTGCCTGCCTTGGTCGTCACAAGCCACGAATGTTTACACCCAAACCTATGCCGAAATACGCCTTGATTAAACTCGAATACATTGTGCTCCCATATGTTGAACTATACTATGATTTTGTATACTGTGACATACTACACTACACTACACTACACCATACTATGCTATACTATGCTATGATAGGCTTTTCTACACTATATTGGACTATACTACACTATAGTATACTGTACTATGCTATACTATACTGAACTGTACTATACTACACTGTACGATACAAAACTATACCATACGATACGATACGATACGATACGATGCTATATTAAACTATACTACACCATATTGCAATATAACCAGAACGTCTTATATATGAGCTGCTAATTCGTAGGCTTGTTTGGCGGCTGAGAGCCTCCGTTCTTTTCAGGAGTTGTCTGCCATCCGTTCATGTGAACCCGAATGTCCAAACTTCAGGCCTTCGGACTAACGTAGGGGGCCTTAATAATTAGAAGAGGGTTTAGGGTTTAGGGTTTAGGGTTTAGGGATACTATAGTTATAATAATGAACCCCAAAATATATCGGTATTTATTTCGGCCCCTACATTTGTGACTTGTTTCTTACATTTCGGCCCGGGGTTAATCCAGGCCGTTGCGAATGCCGTCGTCTCAAGCTTCTGCAGCACCCCACAAGGACAAACCAGTAAGATTCATATTTAGGGTTTAGGGTTTAGGGTTTAGGGTTTAGGGTTTAGGGTTTAGGGCAGAAAAAACTGGTACAGAAGATGTTTAGGGCTCCCTTGCGGCTGCAGTATCAGCCAGAATCATATACTTACTCCGTTTATTGTCAGGACTATGGAACTGAGTAGGTTTTGAAGGGAGGTTTTGATTGTTATGTAGCCATCATGCAACGCACTGCGGAACTGGAATACGAACTATTCGCCAGTCTATATTCGACAATCCCCGCACTCTTTACCCAAAGCCCTAAACCCGATACCCTAAACCCTAGACCCTAAGCCCTAAGCCCTAAACCCGAGACCCACCCTAAACCCTAAACCCTAAGCCCTAAACCCTAAACCCTAAACCCCAAGCCCTAAACCCTAAGCCCTAAGCCCTAAACCCTACGCCCTAAGCCCTAAACCCTTTGCCCTAAACCCCTAAACCCTAAGCCCTAAACCCCCAAAGCCCTAAACCCTAAGCCCTAAACCCTTTGCCCGAAACCCCAAAACCCTAAGCCCTAAACCCAAAGCCCTAAACCCTAAACCCTAAGCCCTAAACCCTAAACCCTAAGCCCTGAACCCGAGACCCTGAACCTTCTTGGCTTAATGCATTTGAGCCCTAGATCTGCAGAGCTCCAGCCAACGAAGGAAGCATGGTCTGCTTTGAAGGGAACGTCCCCATAAAGGGGTTTAGGGTTTAGGGTTTAGGGTCTAGGGTCTAGGGTTTAGAGTTTAGGGTTTAGGGTTTAGGGTTTAGGGTAGGACACGAGTGTGCCTATTTATGTAGCTTTCTGGCCTCGGCCAGGACGCCACGGAACACGGCAACCCGAATGCAGTAGCCTCAAATGCCGACGCAGGCTTCGTGGGTCATAGGATGGAGCTTGATTTTTGGGTTGATGCGCTTACTCTTCTCGTGGATTGGATGCAGGTCCCTTTTGCTGGACAAGTATCCCCACCCGCAAAAGTAGAGGCATGACTAGAGCTCAACTAATGTAGGGGCCTTAAGAGTTAGAGTATTAAGCTACCTGAAATATAACGGAATGGCGTGGGGTCGGCTGGGCCTAGACCCTGAACTGACAAGTATGTCGGCTGTAGGATTGAACAGCTTGCGAAAGAAATTTATGTTGGCGACTCGCGGCCATGTTGCAGCTGACTTTTGACTTCACATATCATATACATGCTGAAGGTGGCCTGTGTTGATGGCGGGCAAAATTTCAGAGTCGCCGTAGCACTCACGTCACGACAGTCATCATTACACCGTCAGCAGGAGCCCTAAACCCAAAATCCGCCACCCTAGATCCTAAAGATCCCCAAAGCCTAAGCCCAAAACCCTTAGGCCGTTGCCGGACACCCAGACCCATAGCCTCTTAGACGAAACCGTCACAGCCCCGAAAGCCTCGTTCCCGAACGACCCTACAAAGCCCCACCGACCATAGACCCCAAACCCTGAAATCCTAAGCCCTGAACCCGACACCCTAAATCGCCCTTCCATGCAAGTCTCGGCGAACCACTTTTGCCAGCTCTGGGCAAGTCCACCTGCAAGCGAAGCACTGCCAGCTGAGGCCCTCAATTACGCTCTCAGGGTTTAGAGCGCAATAGAGGGGCCCTTCATAATTAGAATAGGGTTTTGGGGCCCATTATACTATAAATATACTCGTATAATAAAGAACCCTCCCAAAAATCGTATAGGTAATTCTTTAGGCCCCGACAATTTAGCTGACAGTTTAGGCTTTAAGCTTGGGCTTCTTGCGCAACATGACGTCGGGGCAGGAAAAGGTTTAGAGGAAGCCTCGTAGCTGCCAATCCAAAGCCGGTTTAGGGTTTAGGGTTTAGGGTTTAGGGTTTAGGGTAATGTAGGGGCCTTAGCACTAGTAGTTTGAATAGGGTTTCGGGGCCCATTCTACTAGAAGTACAAGAAGAAACCCCCCAAACTAATCCGGGTAATTATTTAGGCCCGTACATTAAAAACACTGTCAATCTGAAAGCACGAACACCGTTTAGGGTTTAGGGTTTAGGGTTTAGGGTTTAGGGTTTAGGGTTTAGGGTTTAGGGTTTAGGGTTTAGGGTTTAGGGTTTAGGGTTTAGGGAAGGATGAGGCGAAAGGAGAAGAATACAGTTGACACCAATGAATGGCACGGAAACGACGAGTTAACTCACTCGTCGACGGAAGCCCTCACGATCATCTCGTCACGCTTCTAGATCGTAGAACCCTTGAAAAGGAGCTCCTAAAGCCCTTAAGACCCACCGGAAACCCAAAGTCCCTACTCCATAAAAACATGGACAAACAAACAATAGAGGGATCGCACCTCCTTCGCTCGATGACTTTCCTCAGATATTACAAGATAGAGAAAGTTGTGGTAATCCATTAAAGTCGGATTCCCTCTCAAGGGTTCCGCAGAAGAAGGGTGCTACTGTCGATGACATAAATCATGCATTACCTTTAAGGACCCTAAACTATGGTAATGACGGTACATGTCTTATTATGGGTCATGCAGGATTTACATCATCAACCGTACGATCAGGGGGCTTCAATGCTCAGTGCCGGGTTGCGTACGAGCAGGAATCATACGGGCTATTCTCTAAATTACGGTCCCTTTTAGGATCCTTTGGATAAGGGTGCCGTACTATATTGGGGACCCAAGAAGGGACCCTCATTTAGAGAACTACCCATATGACTTTTAACGATCCCCTCAGGTTGAGGGACTGTAAGAGCTCCTGCAAGGATTTCTCTAGTCTAGGGGCTTTCGTCGGGGCAGGAGCATAAGCAAGGATCTCGAAGGGGATTAGGTTTAGGGTTTAGGGTTTAGGGATTAGGGTTTAGGGTTTAGGGTTTAGGGTTTAGAGTGAAGGGGATTTGTAGCGTCTGACCTGGGCGCCGTGGTCTTCAGAACGGGCTTTAGGCGCCAAGCGCTCGGAAAGTGGGCACAGTCCTAAAACCCAAACCCTAAACCCTAAACCCTAAACCCCGGTCCTAAAACCCTAAACCAGAAACGAATCACAGAGGAACCTCAGCTGTCTGTAAAACGGTGCGGGGGGTATGGCACTGTCTACCTATCTGGGTGGTTGTCAAAATTATGGTCCCTTTTTGGGTCCTTATAAAAATACGGCACCTATCATTTAGGGTACCCCAAAAGGGACTATAATTTTGACAACTACCCATCTAGGTTCTCCAGTAGCCCCTTAACACTACGGGTGCCCTTGTTGCTGCTATTCGGGTTGAAAAACGGAACCCAAGAAGAAAAAGGTCACAAGGGTACTACTGGGCAACCTAGTTGTACATTCACGAAGGAACAGGAGTGGTATTTATTCAAGTGCCTGAAGTAGGCTAACCCTAAACCCTAAACCCCTAAACCCTAAACCCTAAACCTAAACCCAAAACCCTAAACTCTAAACCCTTGAAGTATGGCCTAAGGGGACTTGGGGTCCAGGGTCCAGGGCTTTTGGGAGATCGAGGGGAAAGGCTGAGGGTAGAGGGCTTAGGGTCTAGGGTTTAGGGGTTTAGGGGTTTAGGGTTGGGGGTTCAGGGTTTAGGGTTTGGGGTTTAGGGTTTAGGGTCTAGGGTTTAGGGCTTAGGGTTTTAGGGCTCAAGGCTAGAATGGTAAAGGGCATGGGATTTAGGAAGGATCTGTATTACTGGTCTGCCAAAAACACCTGACACAGACACTCACCAACACTGCCTTATAGAAGCCCTATACCCACCAAAACCCCGAATGCAAACACTTCCTAAGATCAGGCTTCAGCTGAAACCTTAAACCCTATAAACCCTAAACCCTGAAACCCTTAAACCTGCATAAGGACTAGAAAATACTTTTATGGTAGCTCACGGTCTCTCTCCAACAGTCTGGGGCCTTCATGTTCTGTTATTTATCTCGGCTGTTCAGGAAAAAGTACACACTTTGGTGGGAGTATGTTAGAGTATCATCGGAACCCAGAAACAAACCCTGACCCTCAAGCCCCACGAACCGGCGGAGTGTTCAGGATTGTGGGTGGGAGGCGCAGGATGGGACAGGACTCTATTGACTTGCTGTCATTTTCCTCACCGAAGCTCCGATTGACCCCCAAACATAACCTAGACCCTTGGATTCATAGGCGAAGACTCATGAAGTCGTCTCGCGTCAGAGAGAGGAGCTCAATGTAGGTCAGCGCATACCTCGCAGCACCGCCCAGCGAACTGTCTTGGCTTCGAACCCCTGGACCCGAAACCCTGAACCCCTAAAGGCTAAACCCTAGCCCCTAAACCCTAAACCCTGAACCCCTAAACCCTACATCCTAAACCATGAAATCCTAAACCCTAACCCAAAAACCCCTAAACCCTAAACCCTGAACCCCCAAAACCCTGTAACCCCTAAACCCCTAAACCCCCGCAAACCCGTATAGAAGCCCCAAACCCCGAACCCTAAAACTCAAGACCCGGCCCTCAAAGCCTGTTTGGCTGCGCCGAGAACTCTTGGCTGCTAGGAAACAGCCTACTTTAGGGGTTTAGGGTTTAGG